CCTAAATACAAAGCATTAGATATGAACTGATAGCTGAATTAAAGGGAAATAAGGAGACAGAAATATTTCTAACTTTTATTAAAATAGGCTAGAGGATGCATTCAGGTTGTTATATATACAAATGTAAAGTCACCAAAATATTTAATCCCATACTAAGTTTTCTATCTATCTTAAGCTAAATTTAAAGAATGTTATGTATTTATATAGTTAACATAATACAACTAAAAAAGGTGTCATAGTGAATTGTTTGTAGCAGCATATATTGCCATTGTGTAAATTATCAAATGCTAATTAGTATATCGCCATAATTTCATGTGATTTGAAATATGTTCTAAAGTAATAAGTACACACACAACATCCTCAATGGACAATATTGAGAGATATGGTTAGATAAGGTTAGTTCACAACAGAAAAGAAAATTTTTAACTTTAAAAATACAAGTCATTTATATGCCTGTTAAGTAGGGTAACCCAATTCTCAGCTTATGTAAATTGTAGGTTAAATATAAAGTTGACTGAACCCGAGACCCTGCTGCTGAAATATAAAACGAATATAATTCAGATATATTTGCAGAATTCCATTAAGTTATTATTTCCTGAAACTACTGAAAGTTTTACTGAGGTTAGAAATATACTAAATGTTTTTTTCCTTAATGGTTATCTTAAATTAATGTTTCACAGCATATTTCCGAGCTAATAAGAGTTAGAATAAAACATCAAAGAATTATTACACATGCTGAAACCGGTTTGGCTCAGTGGATAGAGCGTCGGTCTGCAGACTGAAAAGTCCCGGGTTCGATTCCGGTCAAGGGCATGTACGTTGGTTGCGGGCACATCCCCAGTAAGGGGTGTGCAAGAGGCAGCTGATTGATGTTTCTCTCTCATCGATGTTTCTAGCTCTCTATCCCTCTCCCTTCCTCTCTGTAAAAAAATCAATAAAATATATATATATTTTTTAAAAGAATTATTAAACATTATCCTGCATTTTAAAAGCACACCAGTTTTATTTACATTAAAATCTAGTGATCAATAGCTCTAAAATCTACTTTAATTTATAAAATTTAACCTCCATTAAATGGTTGTCTACAAACTCCTATTGACTTGATAGAACTAGCAAGGAGCAGTTGTGTTTGTGTGTGTGTGAAAGGAATCAAGGAAATGAGAGATGAGAGAGAAATAAAGAGTGACTTCCAAGCTCCTGGCTTACCTCATAAGCACCCAAGTTTACCTTGGTATTGTTAGTGTAGAGCAATCTGTAGAAAGCATCTTCTAGTTGGGAGATATGCCCAAGACACCTAGAGTGGAGCCTTGGATCATCTAGATTATCTACACTCTTATTATACAAACTAGCGACCCAGTGCATGAGGGTCCTAAGGCCTGGTTGGTAGGGTGACTGCAGGGCGATCTGGGGTGCCCCCTCTGGCACCGGCCTTGGCTGGCCTGGTGCCGCTCACTCGCCAGCCCTGACCCCCGCTGCCGGTGGTTGCCTCCCTCTGTGGGGCGACCCGCAGGGTGATCAGAGGGCCCCTGATTGCACCTCTGCCGTGGATGGCCTGGGGCCTGCAGGCTGGGGGCAGCTCCTGAGTTGAGAATCTGCCCCCTGGTGGTCAGTACACATCATAGCGACTGGTCGTTCCACCATTTGGTCGATTTGCATATTAGGCTTTTATTATATAGAATGGAAAGATGAAGGAACAGAAAAGTCACACATTTACATAAGAGAGTTGCAAGCCAGGCCTAGAACCTGGCATCCTAACTCCAAAGTCACGTGATGTTTCTATTATTATCTAAACTACCACTTTTAAAACCTTGTTGTTGTCTACTAAAACAAGAATGAAGTTGTTGAGTTAAAGATTTTAATCTAAGATAAACACCTACATGAACCCAGAACATTACTTTGACCTGTGTGTGGCCTTTTCTCTCTCTGTCTTAAAACCTACTTTAAAAACCTGTATTTTTGTGATTCATTTAATATCTTACACTGATGCCTCGATTTTTTCTGTTTGTGGAATTTTAAGAACATTCCTCTTCTGGTAACATGTTTTAATTAAAAACAAATGCTTTGGGATTACTCTGTGCCATTTGCACACGATTGGAAATCACTGATGGTGACAAATGATCAAGAAAGTGATAGCTTTCTGAAAAAAAAATTATAATTCTGTAGCAAGTAAGCTGAAGAACTATAAAATATTTTCAGAACTAAAAATTTTGTCAAAAGAACTTATTCATTTCTTCCTTTCTTGTAGTTTTGGGGAATCCTCAAGAGCAATGAATGAAGAGTGTGATATCGCTTAGAAGACAGAAGAGGGACATCTACTCTCTGCTCATCTCTTCCTTCCCTGCCTGAGGGCTGTGTCTCTACCCAGTTATCTCCCTAACCCCAAGCCTTCAGAAGCCTACTGAACACAACCTTTTAATGCGTCTGTCTAGTTAAAATCATCTTCAAAAAGGGACCCCCCCCAAAAAAATGCTTTGTGGTTGGGGCAAGCAAGAACAATCAATCACTACATTCACCAGGACAGCACAGTATTTGTGCAGCACCAAAAAATTTACTATATGCAAATTAAAAAGCTGGAAGGCTGGCCCAGGTGAGGCCAGGCCAACGTAAGCCAGAAGCTGGACAAGAGTGAGGAAAGGCACGGTTGCAGAATGCTGCGGGCTTCTGTGAGGATGAGTTCTACAGAAGTCCTGACCTCATTTGGGTCCCAGACCCAGACGTGCGTCTGTTTTCCTGCGGCTGCGAGAGGCCAGGGGCCCGGGCAGCGCCGAGGGGAGCAGCACGCAGGGCAGGGAGTCAGAGAGAAGCTGCCGTCGGAGGGACGTGCGCCTGAGTGGTTCAGGCAGCAGCAGTGCTACGTGACCTGGGTCATGCAGGGACGCCGAGCATGCAAACGTCATCAGAGGAGTATCGTTCTGCGTGGTAATGCGGCTGCATCAGAGTCTTTCTCTAAGCGTGACATGCTTTCTCCTCTCCAGTCACGCGTGAATGATGGATGTGTGTAAGGGGAGACAATTGGGAAATGCTAGTTTGAATTCGCAGATGAAAGCAAAAGTAAAAAGGAAGACGATGGCTCTCCCAACCTCTGCCCAAATCTTCCTTGTTGCCTGAGGCACAGTTAAGAGCAGGATGGGTAATGGAGTCTCGTGCCGTCCTGATTTCTGCGTGTGCAGCTTGCTAGGACACGCGCATAACAAGAGCAGGAGTAGCATGAGTGGGTTGGCAGTGAAGAGGCTTACAGGATACGAGCACGATGAAAGCTAAAAAGAAATCTTTTAGCAAAGTTGCCTTTTATCTGTATTTCTCATTTTTCTTGCACCTGTGGTATCATCTTGTTAAAATTTCAAGAGACACGCAACTGAAGAAGTGCATTTTTTAATAATAAGAGGAAAATTAGTCCCTAGCAGCTTATATTCACACTCAGAATGTTAAATGGCCAAATAAACCCACTCAGAATGCCCTTCCAGTGAGCAAGAAACCACTGCTCAGATGCTGTAATGTTTTAGTAAAGAGATGCTTCCTAATGATGGAATGAAAGTCTCTGGAGGTTTATAAGCCACGTTTACAAGTGCAACGAACTTTTAAAGAGGAAAGTAAGTGTTATTATTGTGATTTATTAAACAATACTTTATGCTTAGTGCCTTAGTACCAGATACAAGGAATTTCTGAACTTGTATTTGCAAAATGTTCAGGTATGTATGCTGAACCTAGGGGCAAAGGAGAGTTGATGAAGTAATCTTAATATTTATTGATGGGAAGCTGACTCTTTTGAGTCTTTATGCCAGACAGAAAGAGCCAGCCCATTGCTATAATTTCACATGAGTTTCTTGTTAGCAAACCAAAAAAGTACTTTAAATATTCTGCATCGTCTTTAGATGTCCCGGTTAATAGTCATCTACTATGATGCGTCACAATTTATCAATGCAAACATATGTGTATATATAGGTACATATGTTTGTATGTAGATAGGCCTGTCAAACTTACTTGGGAAAATATCCCAGTGTCAACTGGGCTCACCTATTGAGCTGTTTTGTTTGTTGCCTTTTTTTTTTTTTTTTTGTAATAGACACAAAAGGAAGGTAACTGAAAGATCATCTTCCTGCTCCCAGAAGTGTTTACAAGCCTGACCTGACCAGGATGCATAAGTTTAGGGCGGCACAAGTTCACAGACACTGTGGATGCAAATGACTGGAAGAGACTGCTGATGATAAACCATTTAGAAAATACAGCCCGGAGGGTAGGTTTAGGTACTGAGATGTAGCCAGGAGGAGAAAAGGATAAGAATCCATGATGCACCAAAGGACAGCATTAGGGTCAGCAGTCCATTACCCCTGGGTATTATGAAGATGGAAATTCCTTGTAGCTCACCCACCACTTGCTGTGTACAAAATTTTCTCCCGCTGGCTTTAAAAACAGAAACACTGATGTCTCATGACAAAGAGAAAGTAGAGCCTACCTTGGAATCAAAGAACAAACCTAAATGACATTTTAAAGTTCCCTTCCCACACCAATATGAAAACCCAATAAAACAGCAGCGTTACTCCACAATCCTGGTTACAATAAGCGAGGATTAAAATGCAGAAATACAATGTCATTTCTCACACAAACAGCAGCGAAGCAAGCTATTTGATATTGCTCTAAGACATTATGAGGTCAGCTGAAGCAAGATGGTGTATGCAAATCTTGTTCAGAAATCAAAGTATAAGCCCGCAAATTCTCAATATAAATTCTCCTCAAGAGAGGCTGCTCTGATGAGATTGAAAATATCTCCTCCATATGGGCAGTTTCAGACTTTATAACATTTTAAGACAATGTTCTAAGAGATAAAGCTGGCATATGAAAAGCCTGGGCAGAGGAATCAGTAATGATCAGAGCAAAAACAATTCTAGAAGGCATCTTCATTTTCATATGGCTCATTTGCATTTGAAACATTGAGAATTCCTATCTCTCTCGTACAAAAATGTGTACATATTAAATTACTTTCCACTTGAAAGAACATTTCCCTAAATGTTTGGAAGATGATCAAATTTTAACTGGAGGCCTTGTTTTCTTCCATCAGGTGTGGGGGAGGTGTGGCTTCCTGGTATGAGAGGCAACAGGTGATTCTAATAGCAGAATGAGACAAAAATAAGAAGGTCAATTGAACAATTCCTACTTGTACAGTTTGATGATGTAAAGGTAGCAAAAAAGGACAGAGGTGGTACAAAGATGTCAAAAGACATAAACTTAAAAATTAAATAGAGAACCTTGCTAACTTTTGAAAATTAGATTCCACTATCTATTCTAGGCTTCTTATGAAATTTTATCTAATTTATTTCAGTACACAAATTTCGGAGTATCTAGTCAATGTTTAAAAGGCACATGCTCATGAAATGATAATTCCCGGGGCCTACTTGGTGCCCATCTCAAATTTTAGGATATTAATTTTAGGATATTGGTGGGACAGCAAAGATGAAGAACTACTGTCAACTTTAAACAATATTTAGTCTTAATGAATTCCTAGGTCATCCCTCAGAGAGCTAGAAGTTGGTATGGAAGTATTATAGAAATCTGAACGCACAAAAGGAAACCAGACTGAATAAAAAGATCTCCCTGCATTTTTCCCCTCCTGATACGGCCGAGTGTCTAGGAAAGAGGTGTGCCCTCAAAAAGAAAGCCAGGACTTGAAAGCCATCCCTGTTTATCCTGGCCCTGCGCTCCAGAGACTTCCCGGGGTGGAGAGATGCTGTAAGTCTCCGGCTGAGAACGGGAGGCGTAGAGGCGTAGAGGCGGAGCGCGTCCCCACCCCCGGTGAGGACGGTGTGGCAGAACTTGAGTTGGGGACCAAGAGGCAGGCTGGAGCACTGTTGCTGTTGATCTCCCAGGCCAGTGGTCAGCACACTCATTAGTCAACAGAGCCAAATATGAACAGTAGAACGATTGGAAGTTAATTTTGAGAGCCACGTTTTTTAAACTTAAACAACTTCTAACGCTACTTCTTCAAAATAGACTCTCCCAGGCCGTGGTATTTTGTGGAAGAGCCACACTCAAGGGGCCAAAGAGCCGCATGTGGCTTGCGAACCTCAGTGTGCCGACCACTGTCCCAGGCTATAGGTAAGGAATCTAGTGAGATGTTTTGAAGGGGATAGTGTTTTTACACACAGGTCACACCGTATTTCATACTGCTGCCTCAGACTTCCTTGAACAAACCCTAATTTTCTGGTTAACTAAACTGTATTGGGCTTAACTTGCATCCATGTAACTTTCACGGTAAAATGATCTACGCAATACAAATCCAGAGGGTTTTGGATACAGAGAAATCACCATAATAGTCCTCCTTATTGATTACTTTACTCTCTCCCCCAACAAACTTTTATTTTAACTATCAAATAGTTGAAAAAAAAGACTGCTCTCTTCCTTTATTGGGACATGCTAGGGAGAAGATAAACGAACAAAAAGTAGATCAAAGGAGGAAGATTAAGCAAACGAAAATGGGATGATTGTTAGTCTCTGATAAATTAAAAAATTACCATATTGTCTTATTAATAACCATTGCTCATCTATTTAGTTATTTGGATCATAGCTATATGACAAAAAACTATTTTAGATGCTGGGGATATAAAATGGGGGAGGGGAGCCCCAAACAAACTTACTTCTATGAATTTATGTTTTAACTCCAAAGTTTTCTGAAAGCAAGTACAGAGTGGTTGCCTAATGAACTGCAAATCAACGTCTGCCGCCATATTGACCATGTTTCTATGTAATACTGATACATTTGAGAATAGGGTTTGGTTCCCAGATACCTGAGTTTCATCCTTTTGCATCTGGCCAGAATACTGTCCTTGTCTTGGAGGAAAAAAATCTAGGAAAGGCAGACTTACGTGCCCTCGGGGTGAAAAGATGGCAGAGTCGTGTCCTGTACTGCACATCTGGAGGCTGCGGAAAGGTACTGGGATTCCGCTGCATGCGGGTTTCAACTCAGTCCTGCTGTATGGGGCATTACTGTAGGAAGCTGCTGTATTTTGGGTACACGTTCCGGTGGGTGGGACAGCCAATCGGTTTAACAAAAGAATTGTGCAATAATTTGATGTGTCACTTGGAAGAAGACTTTGTAACAATTTGGGTATTTCATAGCTTTATGATTTTATTACATCAACCCAGTATTTATTAGGTAAACAAATACAACTACACCAGTGCAAAAATAAGGTCTTGGTGTCCACCCAGTCTCACTTTGAAATGTAGGAAAAGGGGAAAAAATCTTTTTAATAGCACTTTAACTGTTGAATGGAGGTACCTGCTGATGTTTTCTGCTTCTTCCTTCGTTACGTGCTTTTCTTTTAATTGGGTCTTCTCGGAGAGAATCAAAGTAGGGGTTCTCCAGGAGCTGGGCACAGGATAATCTGTTGTCTGGATTCATCTTCAGACACTCCTTTGGATGAAAAGCAAAGAAAGAGGAGCCTATGTTGTTACTGTGCCCCAAATTCTGAATAGTAACTGGAGAGAGCATATATGACTGAGAAAAATCAAGTCTGTATTTTATAGCTTGCTAATAACTGTGGTCCCCTCTATTTCTCCATCACTTCACTCTGGCTTCTGCCTCAATTCCACTCTCAAGTGGCTCTTGCTACCCAGACCTATGACCTCTACGTCCCTATCCTTAAATCTATTTCCATATTTTGTGTTCTCCTCTCAATACCTGGGTAACACCTTTGCAGTGACCAGCACTGGCACAAAGGCTGGTCTGCAAGGTCAACTCCAGGTCATCCAGATGGCTCCACCTTCCAGATCATATGAGTCTTCAACTGGGATGCTTAGCATAATCACCCAGGGGGGTATTTAATGGTATAAATGATAAGGTCCTATATATAGAGATTCTGCTTCTGGAATCCGAGTTAGATACTGGAATGTGTGCTTTTAAAAAGCTCCCAGGTCATTCTGATGAACAGCAGGGAAACCGCTGCCATAAATAGAACGTAACTGGTTGTTAAAGACAGATACTTTTACTGGTAGCTCCATCCCTGTCCCCTCAGGGTTTTCAGTAGGCACTTTGAGATGGAAGAGTCCTATCTAGCATGCCCTCAGTTGGTCAAGCATGAATAGTAGCCTGGTCAGAGGTGAACTTCTACTTTTTTTTTTTTTTTACTAGAATTTGTCTTTTGCTTGACTATCTCTTTTAGGCCCCATGCAGAGGCCATTTATGGTGTCTATATGACTCTGACTTGGCTGGGTCTTCTAATATTAATGTTTTAAAAATAATTAAAAATTTTATTTAACTCAATATATCTAAAATCTTCAACATGTAATTAATATTTTTAAATTTAATGAAATCTTTTATATTTTTAATAGTAATTTTTAATAGAAACCTAGTATATCTCAATTCAAATAGGCCGTGTTTAAGTGCTCAATAGTAACACGCAATGCCTGCCATCCTGGACTGTGCTGTTCTCGACCTTCAACATCCTCACAAACTTCCATAGTCAGAACTTAATATTCGCATTTCTTTCAGTGAACGCAAAAGAAGTAATGGTGTTCATGAGAGCAAACCCCAATCATACTAATTAAAAACCCTTTTTTTTTTTTAATCCTCACCCAAAGATATGTTCTTTATGTTGACTTTAGAGAGAGGAAGAGAGAGAGAAACATCACTCCGTTGCCTCCTATATGCACCAACAGTGGGGAATGAACCCATAACCTTCGTAGGTGCCGTAAGCAGGAATCAAACCCGCACCTTTTGGTGTACAGGATGGTGCTCCAACTCACTGAGCCACCCAGCCAGGGCCTTCTCCTAGGAAGAGTATTGCTTGTGCCACTGATGTTCCTTTAACTGTAATGACTTTACAGGTTTTTATCATTTTCAACGACTGCCTCCTTCTTTGGCATTATTTGTACCATTGCCCACTCTGCCCAGAGTTACCAGCTTCGATCTTCACAATTTGTGGTCAGTAACAATTATAAGTGATTCTAAAGTACCTTCATAAAGTTCAAAGCCAGGGGATGAGCACCTGAGAATTTTTCTTCAAGAGTTTCCTAGGACATAAAGTAAAAGCTTTTAACATTACATAAAAACAACAAAATATTACATAAAAACAACATAAATTACATACATAATACATACTGTATGTATTAATGTGTTAATAATAAGAACACTTTGAAGAAAGACTCCCTTAGTAGGTTAGATAATTTCTTTTAATACAATCATATTTTTACATAATGCTACACTATAGTGTAAATACTTGAGAGACAAAAATTGGAGTTATTTTTTAAATTTCACAATGTCTCACAATTGATGTTTGATCAATGTGGGTTCCAAATGGCCTCTTCTGAAACACTGCTACAGTCCTATAATACCTGCCTGATCCACTCACAGAAAGGCTTTGAGCGTCAGTGAAAATTACAATGACCTACATGTGTAAGAGCAATACAGAAAGCAATGGAATGATGAACATAAACTCAGAATAGTGAGGAGGGAGGAGGATGGGATTGAGGGGAAGAATTCAGGAAGGAGGAAGTTTCGAAGACAGTGGTAATATTCTTAATGTGTATTTGTTGCTTTATTCTTTAAACTGCATATCCTTTTGTAATTCAACCTCTAGCCTTACAATTCAACTTTTAACATTTTATTATCCTATCCAACCTCTAGCCTTACAATTCAACTTTTAACATTTTATTATCCTACCTAATAAAGAAGGAATATACTAATTGACCCTCACACAGTCAAAAAGATGGTGGTGCCCACAGCACATAAGGAGGAAATATGCTAATTGACTGCCCTGCTCTCAAAGACAGCAGTGCCCACAGCCACAAGATGGCGGTACCCAGTCTCCTCAGCCACACCAGAGCAGTAGGCACGTGGCAAGGCCAGGCCTTGCTGCACCTGCCTCTATAGTTCCTCAGTCCCCTATGCTCCCCAGCCGCCCAGGGCCGGCCTGAGACACAGGCAAGCCTCGGATGTTGGCTGCCCAGGGCCGCCCGAGGTATGATTGGTGCATCACCTTCCCCTGATTGCTGGGTCACCTCCCGCCCCTGAGGGCTCCTGAACTGTGAGAGGGGGCAGGCCGGGCTAAGGGAACCTGCAGGGAGCGGCTATAGGGTTAAGCCTCGGACTGACCTGTTGGCAAAGCCACAAACAATTCCCAGCTTAGAGGGCACAGCCCTCTTAGCATAATTAAGTTTGACCTTATGACACTTCCTAGATCCTTCCTGGATAGCTAATGGGCTGTGGGAGGTGCAGCAAGTGCTGCCAAAACAAGTGAAACTCACAAGAACATTGAAACTATGGTGACCACTACCTTGTTTACCTCTGACTATAAAATAAAGCATCAGCTCTTTTTCTGTGGATCTTTTTCTGTGGCCTGAGCCAGGCACAGAAGATCCACCTAGACCCAGCTTATCCTCTTTGTCTGTCTTTTCTTCATCCTTCGCCACCCTGCCTCAGGCTCATCGAACCCTTGGCTGTGCTGACATGGCACAGGAACCCCCCTCCAGTGCATGAATTTTCATTCATCGGGCCTTTAATATTTAATAAAAGAGAGCCAGTATATAAATCAAGGTATTATATAAAACACATTTAAAACACAGATGGTATCTAGAGATAGCTGGGAAGTCTTAAACCTCGATTGTTCTTCTGTGCTGTAAATCATGATCTGGCTTTACTGACACTTTCCCCCTCCCTGCACCCCTCTGACTTCAACCTAGGCACATGGACACATGCCTATGGACAGTCCATTCTGTAAGCAGAATCTAGACGATATGGAGTTTTAAAGATCACAGCCTTAACTCAGGTAACACAAACAGGATATCAATGTGTGCAGAATGTAAGAGGGCCAGGTAGTAGGCGATACATTCCCAGAGAAAGACAAAGCCCACAGCGAGAGTGTGGAGGTGAGCATGCAGTGTGGAGTTCTGACTTGGACACAGTGAGGATCATTTTGTAGAATGACCTTCTATGTGAAAATATACATTGTGAAAAAAAATGGTTTCTACTGATTTGAGCTTTGTTCCACATGTTGAAAAAGAGAGAATGCCTTTTTTTTTTTTTTCAAAATGAAGTAATACAGTATTGTTTATGAGATAATAATTATTTCAGGAAAAGGTACCTGAGTGTTTTGACTAAAAGGATCAGATATTTGTGTAAGGAACTAGGCTTTCACTTCAAGGCCAATATTAAATTAACCTTCGGATAAGGCAAGTAAGCTTTATAAGCATTCCCCTGATCAGTTCATACAATTTTTATATAGTTTCTTTGATCTGTGTTAGTGTGGCATAAGGAAAACAGGAGCTAAAGGCATAAAAATGAAAAGACACGCAACAAAAGACAACTGTCCCTTTAAAGAAAGTGGCGACACAAATAATAAGACATCCAAAAATCAAGCAGTTACCATGTCTTCTGGTTCAGGAATACTGATGCCATGGAAAAAATGGTTGCTTTTAAAGATGGACTGATGTCTCGGGATTAGTTTGCCTATAAAATACAAACCACGTAGTTTATGTTCAGTCTGTAAAAGGAAGACCTGTTTAAATGTTAACTTCTGACCGGAAAGGAAGACCGGTCCTGACTGTGGCCTCCAGGTTTGGAGGGAATCGGTCACCGCCTCGGCACACCTGCTCAGGTGAGGTCAGTTCGCCCACGCCAGCCACTCTGCCACACAGCCTCCACCAGGGAGGAGGCCTTCACACACGTGACCTTACTTAACCTCGTACAATCTAACAACAGTCGCCACTTTCAATCTCCACTGTGTCGATGAGAATGAGGCTTAGAGTTTAGTAACCTGTTTCAAGTCACATGGTCATTTAATGACAGACATGATTTCAAACGCAGGCCTGTCTAATAATTATCTACCTAATGTAAATGTCCACAAATACTTTCAGGAAATCAATCAATCAATCAATCTACGCTAGAGAACTGCCCTGTGGTGATCCTCTCCCCCACATTTTTTCAAGCTGCAGAACTGTCCAGAAGCACATGTTGGAACCAGCCTGGTCAGCAGTAATTCCCGTGCCCGGCACCCACACTGCCAGGAGAAGGAATTAGTAAATATTCGTCCCGTGTGTGCAGATGTATCCTTGCAGCCGTGGTGCCAGACTAAGCTGCAGGTGACCTTCTGGGTATATTCCCTGCCAGCCAGGAGGCAGGCCACTGCTGAGGATGCTGACACATGAGGAAAGAGATTCTCGAGTTCCATTCCTAGGCTGCTCTTTAGGCCAATCACGGAAGCGCCCTGAGCCGCGGTTTCTCATTTCTCAGAAGGCATCGCAAAAAAAATGTTGCTATGTAAAAGGCAAACCCTAGCCATAGCTGGTTTATCTCAGTGGATAGAGTGTCAGTCTGTGGACTGAAGGGTCCCAGGTTCAATTCCAGTCAAGGGCACATGCCCAGGTTGTGGGCTCAATCCCCAGTGTGGGGCATGCAGGAGGCAACCAATTGTTCTCTCATCATTAATGTTTCTATCTTTCTCTCCCTCTCTCTTCCTCTCTGAAATCAATAAAAATATATATTTAGCTCTAACTGGTTTGGTTCAGTGGATAGAGCATTGGCTTGTGGACTGAAGGGTTCCAGGTTCGATTCTGATCAAGGGCATGTACGTTGGTTGCAGGCACATCCCCAGTAGGGGGTGTGCAGGAGGCAACTGATCGATGTTTGTCTCTCATCGATGTTTCTAACTCTCTATTCCTCTCCCTTCCTCACTGTGAAAAATCAATAAAATATATTAAAATATATATATATATTTTAAAATAAATAAGTAGCAAACCCTCTTTTACAGTGGACAGAAATGGCATTTGGCTTAATACCGCCTAAGAGCAGAGTCTGTACAGCTGACGCATACCCTTGGCTGCAGAGGCCAGCCCAGAAAGCAGATGTGCAGTTTATCCCTTGGCTAAGTGGCTGACTTGGAAAGGATCTGAAGACTCCTCAGCGAGGGACTAATGGCTCCACAGACTGAGGGAAAGGGCTGGGTTTTGGCTACAACCCAGGACCCACCCTCCTGAGCAGCACCTTGGAGAGAGAGAGGCAAGAAAGCCCTGCCCGGGCACTGAAATGGCACGCCGTTCCCATAGCAGCAGAGCGGCCCTGCAAGCCATGAAATGCAGCTCCTACCCAGAGTCCTGATGATCAGATAAAGCTGATCCACATCTGACTTCCCGGGCCAGAGCGGCTGGCCGGTCAGGAGCTCCGCGAAGACGCAGCCCGCAGCCCATATGTCCACCGAAGAGCCGTACTGAGTGTCCCCCACGAGGAGCTCGGGGGCTCGGTACCACCGTGTGGCGACATAGTCCGTGTAGGCGTCTCCTGGAACTGCAAGCACATCCATCAGAGGCGGAGGGTCCCCCGTTCCCAACGTGTGAGCTGCCAGGAGAGGCACCGAGGTGCTTCCACACTCAGCGGCCACACAGGCCGGGCAGTTCACACAGCAATGCCGCCGGAGGGGCCATAATAACATAATAACATTTGGCATTCATTCCACACCCACAGGCACCTCTGCTCCTTCACATGTGTGTAATCCCAAACAGAGGGCGGTGTGTCTGAAAATTCCCAGTGCAACGTCAAGTCTAAACCAGCTTCCGAACGCACGGTCAAGTCCCCTGTGTGTGGGTACCCGTCAGGACGCTGATGATGTACACACCACCTTGGGATGTGTATGTTGCTGCCGGGTGCAGTTGTAGATTTGAGGACAAACACCGATTTGTCCCCCTGCCCCCCTGGGTCCTCCCTGTCTGGGATGATTTCCTGTTTCTTAGCACTGTCTCCGCATTCTCTCTTCAACTGTCGGTTCCCTCTCTGTCTCCCCAGCTCCTGTGAGGTTATCTGCCAACCACACCTGCCCCCAGGAGCATCTATCTCCCTCCAGGACAAATGGACACCTTCGCTTTTGCACTTCCTTGCCAACCACCCTGCATTCTTCTTTTGTTTATCTGACCGGAGACTATAAGAGTGCGCAGAGCAGGAATGCGTCTTAGAACCCTTTTCCTCTCCTGTGGGGCAAAGCATATGAACGTGATGTCCAACAAATTCCAGTTGAGTGGAGTGGAGTTGAAGTGCCAATTAATGTAGCGACTGAAGGTGAAAGTGAGATTTTTTCCCTTTTTGAATAATAACATTTGGCATTCATTCAATATCTAAAGTGGGGTTTTCAACGATATTATTTCATAATCATCTGAGTTGAGCACATTTAGTAAAAGAAAGGGGCTACTTACTCAGAATTCGTGCAAATCCAAAGTCACAGATCTTGATTATTCCTTGCTTAGTTATTAGAATATTTTCAGGTTTGACATCCCTGTGAATACACTGTAAGGGGATATTTGATTATTTCTTTGAGCCATCAAGATGACAAAGCATAAAAAAACATTACCTCTTACTTTAAATGATAAACATAGTCTGTGAGATAAAAATAAATGTGGTTTTCTCAACAGAATTTAAATTGGTAATTTTTCAAGTACCACACCAAAAGAAAAAAAATGTTACATCAGTGAAGAAATAATTGTTGGATATAAAAGCTGACTTTTTTGTATGGGGAGAGAAGGTAGCATCTTAACAATTATTTCTTCCACTTGTTACCGGGTCCTATTTTAACTGTAAGAGCAAAACCCTTGATGCGACTCGGTGTACCTATAATCAGAACTACTCCACCCAAGATCACATTCACATTTGAGAAACTGGAAAAACATCCAAATGATAAACAAAACTCCCTTATCATTAGGATGACCATATTGTCATCTAAATGAGAATGTGTGGCCCTCGCCAGTTTGTCTCAGTGGATAGAGCGTCGGCCTGTGGACTGAGGGGTCTCGGGTTCGATTCCGGTCAAGGGCATGTTCCTTGGTTGCAGGCACATCCCCAGTCGGGGGTGTGCAGGAGGCAGCTGGTCGATGTTTCTCTCTCATTGATGTTTCTAACTCTCTCTCTCCTTCTCCCTTTCTCTCTGTAAAGAAATCATTAAAAATATATATATATTTTTTAAATGAGAATGGCCGGGACCGGTTTGGCTCAGTGGATGGAGCATCGGCCTGCGTACTGAAAGGTCCCGGGTTCGATTCCGGTCAAGGGCATGTACCTTGGTTGTGGGCACATCCCCAGTAGGGGGTGTGCAAGAGGCAGCTGATCAATGATTCTCTCTCATCGATGTTTCTAACTCTCTATCCCTCTCTCTTCCACTCTGTGAAAAATCAATTAAAAAAAAAATGAGAATGTGTGAAAAAGCTCTATTGATAATTATGCCAGGACAACAAGCGCAAACCACAACGCTCCTGGGTGCCCTGGGGCGCATGGCCCCACTCCGTAAGGGCTACCAAAGCCGTTGCCCTCCGGGATGAGCGGCACATCCTCATCTTCATCTCCTCACAGGGAGCCCCGCTAGCGGACTGGCAGCCTCCGGAGAGGGGGCCACGCCATGAGGATCACTCAGCCCCACGCAGAGCTCTGCACTTCCCCAAGCGCCTCCCCGCGGAGCAGCTCCTCCCCGCAACCACACTGGGCTGCGGGAGGCCATGGCCCGTCCCAGGGGACGTCACAGCGATGGGCTCCTCGGCCTCACTTCTCTGCTGTGCCGTCCATCCACCCCTGTAGGAGCGGCTGTCAAATGGACAGCTCTGAAGTAATTTCTCTTTGCCGAAGCCGGTTTGGCTCAGCGGTAGAGCGTCGGTCTGCGGACTGAGAGGTCCCAGGTTCGATTCCGGGCAAGGACATGTAGTACCTTGGTTGCGGGCACATCCCCGGTAGGGGGTGTACAAGAGGCAGCTGGTCCATGTTTCTCTCTCATCGACGTTTCTGGCTATCTCTCCCTCTTCCTCTCTGTGGAAAATCAATAAAATATATTAAAAAATAAAAATTAAAAAAAAATAATTTCTCTTTGCTTCTATAGCAACTGGTCTAGGAAGAGAACATGGCGAATCCTTAATTTACTTTTGGTCACAGAAATGGCACTGGCAATAGAAGTGAGTAGTCTCTATTAGCCACTGTCAACTGTTAAACCTTTTGAGGCCCCTTAAAAACCTTAGGCCTTAGCTGTTAATTTAAAAAAAAAAAATACACTGTTGTAATAGAAACCAACTTCATTTTTGATAGTCTAACCTTTTTAGGTAACCCGTTTATGAAACCCAGATTAATACTTAATCATACAATAGTTGGTGATTTGCTAAGAACAGGTTATGTTCCTCAAATGAGTCTGCATCAAATTGTAAGATTTCTGGCCCGGTTGGCTCAGTGGGACAACCAGACATGGGATGCCTCGTGACGTTGGTGCCATAAAAAGTGTACAGCGCTATTGTATGATCTATTCTTGTGTGAAGAAAAATGAACCTAAAAATGATCAAGCATCTAGATATAAAATGCCAATTTGAAGGAAAAACGGGTGGAAGACCAAGTTCAGTTAGACACAGGATGCAGTCAGTCAGAATGACTTCAGTAACACAGGAGGACTCAAAGTATGGCTCTCGGACCAGCGGCTTCTGTATCAACCAGGGAAATGCAAATTCTCGGGTCCTGTCCCAGACCTATGGAATCCGATACTCTGGGGGTGGACCCAGCAAACTGTGTCTTAGCAAGACCTTCTGGCATTGTGATGCACGCTCGGGTTTGTAGAACTATGGTTATGAAAAAGTAATGATGAAAAAAAAAAAAAACTTAAAGGGAAGGGAAGGGGGACTATTGTAGAATAAAAGACTTGAGAGACATAAAATAAAGTGCCAAAGTGGATTCCACTATTGAGAACTTATTTTAATCCAATTTTAAAATAGTCATAGGAGTCAGTAGTGCTGAGGCAAAAAACAGAAACATTAACTTCATACAAACTTTTAAATCATAAGGAATTAGAAATTTGGTTCTTATAGAAGTTGGAAAAGGACCACAAATAATGCGTTGTTTTTCCTCATTTTCAATAACTTTCTTTTGTTTTGCTCTTCTGGTTCTTACTTCCCCTGTTTTTAGTTTTTCAAAGACACCCCTGAGCTACTTAGAAGGAAAGAGTCACCATGAAGAATTAACAAATGCATTAGAAAATGTCACTTACACTATGTTGATGACAGAAATTAAGAGCTTGAAGTGTTTGCCATAATACACTTTTAATCACTCCATCAGCAACTCTAGGGAAAAAAATAAGAGAGGAAATTAAAAAGCTCCTGGGATGGAGTGACAGGCGCAGAAGCGGGAACAGAAGGGGTCTGAGTGGGCTTGTGATGGCCAGCAAACACAGTGCAAAGGGGGCCTGGGAAATGTTCTTTAAAAATGTCTGAGTGAAAATCGCTTTATTATTTTTTTCATTGTAATTACATAATTTCCTCTTTGAATTTTGATTTTTACATCTGCAAAAATGATACAGGCTTAACATGAAAACTCGATCGACACAGAAAAGTGAAGGAATAAAAAGTGTCCACTCACATTTTGCTGTCCCCAAATAACTGCTGTCACCTATGGTGGCTGTTTCTTTAGGCACCTCTGTTTCTCTTCCCTTTGTGTGTTCAAGTTTACTTTTGAACTTTAATGTTAAAAAAAAACACTCATATGGTTTAAAAGTCAAAACACATAAAAGTCTATCTAGGAAGTGTTCTATGTCACCTGCCTCGCCACCCAAGGCATCCTCTGCCACTTCCCTGCCTCTTTCAGACACTTTTATGCAAAGAAGTACAAATATTAATACGTTATACAGATACTTGGTGGTGGTTAAGGACCGCGATATATGGATAATTTACTTAGTCTCCGCTGATGAGCGATTAGGTTGACCCAATTTTTATTTCTAGTAACAATGCTTCAGTGAATATATGTAATCACCCACCTCATTGCATTTGTGCAACTATCTTTTAAGGTGAGTTCTAGAAGTGGGATTTCTGGGACCAATGGTAGGTACATGTTACATTTTGATCCTACTGGGAAGAATTTCAGGTAGATGTGGTTTTGCAGGGAAAAGGGTATACCTGAAGACCGACCTTCAAGATGCCCAATGCATGTAAGTGGTAAACACTCACGCAAATGCTGGGGTTGTTTTGCAGAAGTGACTTACTCCTGGTAAGCAGGCAGATGCATAGCCAGGAGAGGCCAGGGAGAATCAACGGCCCATGAGAATATGAGCCTGGGAGCTCCGTCCCTGCAGAATCCTCACTCTGTGTGGGAAACATTGGAAAATACCATGGAGGGGCAGGTGCATTTTCCATGGGGAACTGGGGAGCTGGACAACGTGTATTCTGGCTGGGAGAAATGTGCTCTGTGTAACCATCTCTACAAATTATAGAAATGACTGTCCCTTTCTGCTGTCTTCCCATTGCTTGCCTCACTGTCCCAGGAATGATGCCTTCACAGTTACATACTGCCAAACTACCATCTCTAAGGAAGGTTATACCAATTTATACTCCCACAAAACATCTGTGCAGCCGAGCCACTGGCCCATATAGGACACCTAGCACATAAAGCTACCCTACCAACTCAGGGAAGCAGCGAAAATATGGAGACAAAGAAACAGATTACAAATGAAAGAAATGGAGGAAAACAAAAGACTGGAGATAGAGTTCAAAACCACGGTTATGAGGTTTTTCAAGAATTTCCTAGAAATGTCGATAAATTTAGTGAGACCCTCAAGGACATGAGAGAGACCCTCAAGGATATGGAAAAGGGCCAACTAGAAATTAAACATACACTGACTAAAATAAAAAATATTATACAGAGACTCAATAGCAAACTAGAGGAATATAAGAATCAAGCCAAAGATATGAAATACAAAGAAGCAAAAATCACTCAACTGAAAAAGAAAAAAGAAAAAAGAATCCAAAAATTTGAAGACATAGATATATATATATATATATATATATATATATATATATATATATATATGAAGCCTCTGGGACAACTTCAAGAGTACCAATATCAGAATTATGTGGGTTCCAGAAGACGAGAGAGAGCAAGATACTGAAAACCTATTTGAAGAAATAATAATTGTAAACTTCCTCCACCTGGTAAAAGAAATAGACTTACAAGTCCAGGAAGCACACAGAACACCAAACAAAAGGAATCCAAAGAGGACCACACCAAAATACATCATAATTAAAATGCCAAGAGCAAAAGACAAAGAGAGAATATTAAAAGCAGAAGAGAAAAACAGTTAATTACCTACAAGGGAACACCCATACAATTGTCAGCTGATTTCTCAACAGAAACTATGCATGCCAGTTGGGAGTGGCAAGAAATAGTCAAAGTGATGAATAGCAAGAACCTACAACCAAGAGTACTCTGCCCAGCCAAGCTGACATTTAGAATTAAAGGTCAGCTAAAGAGCTTCACAGATAAGAAAAAGCTAAAGGAGTTCATCAACACCAAACCAGTATTATATGAAATGCTGTAAGGTATTCTTTTAGAAGAGGAAGAAGAAGAAAAAGGTAATAAAAATTATGAACAACAAATACATATCTATCAACAAGTGAATCTAAAAATCAAGTGAATAAAAAATCTTCTGAACAGAATAAACTGGTGAATATAATAGAATCAGGGGCACAGAAAGAGAGTGGACTGCCGAAACCGGTTTGGCTCAGTGGATAGAGTGTCGGTCTGCGGACTGAAAGGTCCCGAGTGGCCAGCAGATGTTGGAAGGGAAACTGTGGCTCTGATATGAAGTTTACATGAGTTAATTCCTGGTCAAGGGCATGTACATTGGTTGTGGGCACATCCCCGGTGGGGGATGTGCAGGAGGCAGCTGGTCGATAATATCTCTCTCATATATGTTTCTAGCTATCTATCCCTCTCCCTTCCTCTCTGTGAAAAATCAATAAAATATATATATATAAAAAGTCAAATTGTCCTCCAACATAGTTTAAAAAGAAAGAAAGAAAGAAAGAAAGAAAGAAAGAAAGAAAGAAAGAAAGAAAGAAAGAAAGAAAGAAAGAGGACTGACAACACTCGGGGAAAGGAGTTTGGGGGGATTTGGGAAGAGACTGGACAAAAATCATACACCTATGGATGAGGACAGTGGGGGGAGGTAAGGCAAGAGGGTGGGATGGGAAGCTATGGGGGGGGGGAGGGAGAGGAATAACTGTAATAATCTGAACAATAAAGATTTATTAATTTTGTAAAAAAAAACACATCTGTGCATTCAAGCTCCTAGATCTGCATTTGGTTTTGCAGTGTTATGCTTGCCATTCTGTGGTTAAAATACAAAGCCCTCATTTTGGTTTTCATTTGCATGTCATTAACTATTAGTGAATTTAATTTTTACATGATTATTAGCTACTTCATTTCTTCTTTCATGTATTTCCTGTTCAGAGTGATGTATATCAAAGTCTGCAAATGTGCTACAGATATTTTTCTCAGTGTGGTGTTGTTTTTCACTTCCAGTCATGAGATGGGATTGCTGTTTGCATATTTCAAAAAAAAATCTGAAACAAGATTTCTTTTCGTCAAATGTAAGTTTTTAAACTTAAACTTATCTGATATTCCAAACACACCCATCACTCAGCTTTACTATTTCATCATACCTGGATATTTAATGTGCTCAGATCACTTCTTGAAAATGGAATGAATCATGCAGATGTAGCTGGCCTTCCACGTATATATGACTGGGGCAGGAAATATCAACAAGACATCGCCTTGTGGGGCTGGGGTAAACGCCGAGAAACAGCAACAAGTATGTGCTGGGTCACAGTTATGGTGACATGCCCATGACATCAGCGGTCTGGTGGCAGCCCTTTGACTCCAGTGTCTCTGATTCTCAGCATTAAATCACCTAATTAAGTCACCTTCCCTCTGAAATTCCTGGAGTGGTTTCGGTTTCCTGTACTGAATTCTGTCACAGTTTAATGCTCTCCCTTTGCCTAGAGCCAAACCTGAGACAATATTGTTTAAAAATTGTAAGGAAAAAAAATTGTAAGAGTCAGAAAGAATAGTATAGCCATTCTGAGCACTATGAGAGAGTTCAAATCCCAGCGGGGGTGACAACTGATGTCCTTGTCTTGTTTTCCACTTTAATGGTGGTTCCTTTAGCGTTGAGTATAAAATTAGCTGTTGCTTAGAAGAGGGTCTGTGTAGGGGTGTGTGTGTGTGTGTGTGTGTGTGTGTGTGTGTGTGTGTGTGCTAATAAAGTACCAGTATTTTAATCTTAGTTTGCTAAAGTTTAAACAAATCAGAAAAGGATATTGAATTTATCAACTGCCTTTCAGATTTTACCAACATACAATATATAGTTTTTCTCCTTTAACCTATCGGTGAATTATGTAAATGGACTTCCTGATATTGAACTAGGATTCATTCCCTGAATTCAGATAATCCAATACATAACTTACTTATTTTTTGAATATTTATTCTGGAATTTTTATTTCAATGCATCTTTTTATATATGTACTGATTTCAGAGAGGAGGGAAAGGAAGAAAGAATCATTGATCGGCCGAAGCCGGTTTGGCTCAGGGGTAGAGCGTCGGTCTGTGGATTGAAAGGTCCCAGGTTCGATTCCGGTCAAGGGCATGTACCTTGGTTGCAGGCACATCCCTGGTAGGGGGTGTGCAAGAGGCAGCTGGTCGATGTTTCTCTCTCGTCAATGTTTCTAGCTCTCTATCTCTCTCCCTTTCTCTCTGTTAAAAATCAATAAATTAAAAAAAAAAAAAAAGAATCATTGATCGGCTGCCTCTTGAATGTCCTGAACTGGGAAATCAAGCCTGAAATTTGTATATGTGCCCTTGACTGGAATCAAACCTGGGACCCTTCAGTCCACAGGCCAACGCTCTATCCACTGAGCCAAACCAGTTAGGGCACCAATACAAAATTTGGCCTCAAAATGCACTGTGATTTATTTGTGTAGGTCTTCCTAATTATTCCTACTCCAGGTTAATTAATATTCATTTGCCCTTTCTACATCTGCTGGCCACCCCTCCCCAGTCCTAACAGACTGGGGAGGGGTGGCCAGCAGATGTAGGAAGGGGAACTGTGGTTCTGATGAGAAGTTTACATGAGTTAATTCCACATGGAATGAAACTGGAACCCGACCACACAGAGCTTCCACTGCTAGATGACTTACCCATTTGGATTTCTTTCCAGCTCATTTAAAAGCGTGTGATCACAGTATTCAAAAACTAAATGTATTTTCCTCTTTCTCCTGAACACCTCAATGAGGTTCACAAGGTTTGGGTGTTTTAATTGCTGCAAAGAAATTGAAATACAAAACTTGGTGACTTGTTCCCTGTAAGAATTTCTCCCTGGGTCCCTTACAATATTAGGAAAGGAGGTCTTGTGGAGAATTTTATTACAGGTACTTACAAGAGAAAACATCCTTATAAGAATTCTTACCTTTTGTAAGAATCAAGCAATCTTAAAGTTGCAAGAAAAATTTACGAATTTGTCTCATGCACCCATAATATGGTAACTAACCCGAAATTAGTTTGGAGACAACAAATAAAGTATGCACCTTAAAAGAAGCTCTAAAACAACAAACACTTCAGCATTTTGTGTAAATTCTAAATAGGTGTTATAATAAAATAACCTCAATAAAAATGAGGAAATGGAATTATTGTGTAAGACTATAAAACTCATCAATACCCATTTAGCTTACAGATCGCCATGGACTTACTTGTAAATGTCAGCTGGATTTAAACCCAGTCTGGATTTTAGCGTTGGCTCTCAGAAATACAAGATCCTAACCTTCAATCCGATTAAAGTGCCTATTCTAGGAGTCCATGCAGTTAGTCTGTTTTTTATTTGTCATTTTCCAGCTCTGTTCACAGATTTTGTTATCCTCTCTTATGCTTAAATGTTTTATGTGCTAAATTCTCTTCCCAAACTGATGCCACACATCTACCCCTCCCCCTCCGCCCCCCGTCCCCTGGCAGGTCTCGATGGGGGTGGGGCCGGCCAGGTCTGGGTCTGGCATGATTTTGAAGTGCACATGGGTGGGCAGGGACTTGACTCTGGTTCCCGAGGCATGTCCCAGACTCTGACAGGAGGAAGATTTTCATATACATTTTACTAATTTTCTTTCATCTCTGACACTTCTATTATAGAGAAAGGGCAAATAGCAATATTAAAATATTTCCTCCAATTAATTCCCTTTTAATGTGCATGAATTTCGTGCACTGGGTCACTAGTAGATACATAAAATTAACTTACCTTCAACATACGTATTTCTCTTAGTGCTATTTTCTTAATAACAGGATCCTCTTCAGATTCCACAAATTTTTTAATAGCTACCACTTGTCCAGACGTTTTGTTTCTGCATTTGAATACAACCCCATAAGACCCTTCTCCAATCTTAGCTAATTTTTCATACTTTTCCATTATAGTAGCAGCGACTTAAATTGCTGTATTGTTTTAACTGGAGTACAGTGTTGCACCTGGAAAATAAGATGGCTCAGCTTAACCAAGTTATCAAGGATGGCGTTCTCACAGATTATTATATAAAACCAATTTGCTAAGGATACCAAAGGTTTATGTCCATTGATTAATTTTTAATATACTTAAAATTTTTGGGGTGGTATTTTATAATTTGAGTTCAGTCTTATACAGTTTTTCCAGCTACCAAAAAGTCTCATATGCTATTTCTTATAAAGAGTCTGTGTTGACTTCAGTGGAATTAAAAGAATTTGTGGAAAGGGACCTTATCCAATCAGTTGTTTTCATTATCCTCTAGTAAACCATTAAAATGTGATGCTATATAATCTAGCTGAGGGAATAGTTCATACTCTTGAATATGATGTTTATCTTTTCCCTTCTGATTTGAATTCGGCAGAGACTAGAAGACCTGAGATCAAGACTTGGAACAAAGGGCTATACTTCCATCTGGTGGAGAGAATAAAGAAAATGTGGGCTGTTAAACAACGCAGCCATTAAAAACAATAAAATCTTCTTAGAGAATTACTGATTGTGCTTTTATGTGTATGAAGGAACAAGTCCCTAAACTCTTAGCTCCTACCATAAATAAAACTAAAACTCTAAAAAGAAGGTAGATTTCTCTAATTCTTCATGAATGCTTTTGTATCCATAGTGATTCCTATGGAAATACTGGGTTTAATTCTTCAGTCTTGCATCACCCATTTGAGAATTTTGTGGTGATTAGAGGACATGTTAAATAACAAAGAAGGCCAGCATAATTAATAGGCAGCCTTAGAATTGAAAATAAAAAATTCTGATTAGTCTTAAAAATTCCACCCCCCGAAAAAACCCACCTTAGTCAGTAGAATCTTATTAATACACTCTCATAGTAATACTAACAGAACTTGATTACACTTTCTATGCAAGTTATATATAATCTACACAAACATTTCATGAAGTAGGTGTTATTTTCATCCAGTTATACAGATGAGAAAACTGAGATACAGTAAAGTTAGTATGGGATTCGAACCCAGGCAGTCACATTGCCAAGATCACAATTTGAATCACTACACTGCCTCTTGGTTAATTCAGAAGAATGCACAACTTGAAAAACCACTCTATCTAGGTATTGGTATTAATAAAATGTCAAGTAATGAGTTGACTACTTTAAAAAATTTCTCATGTTTCAAATGAGCATCTATTGTTTTTACTTCATTAATGTTCAGTTTTATCCACAGATTATCTCTATAAAGATATAAATCATGTACTCTCACTAGCCATCATAAAAATATACAACTAGAAAAGTATTTATCTGGATAAATGATGATGACTACTATTAGCATACAATGCTATTTTTTAAATAGATTTTATTCTCCCATATTAAAGGGTGAAAATTCAAGCATATACACTCAAGTAACACATGGCAAATCCATCACAGATTATGTTTAGAAGGCTCTTGCTAGTTATGGGCTTGTATGGGAAACCTGAGAAGGCCTAGACGATAGTTACAATGAGGCAGAATTGAGGACTAACCGATTTTTTAAAAAAAATTATCTTTATTGTTGAAAGTATTACAGATGTCCCTCTTCATTCCCAATTGACCTCCTGCACCCTTCCCCTCTCCACCTCCCCAGCAGACCTTCACCACACCTTGGTCTGTGTCCATGGGTGATGCATGTTAAGTTCTTTGGTTAATTTCTTCTTCCCCTCCCTTCATTCTGAGATTCCTCAGGAGGACTAACTGAATTTTTAAAAAATTTAAGTATATATAGTTGGTGTATAATCTTATATTGGTTATATTAGCTTCCAGTGTACAATACAGTGACTAGACATTTTTATACCTTACAATGTGATCACCCCACCAATTCTACTAATCATCTGTCACCATGTCAATGTTTTTGTTTGTTTGTTTGATCCTCACCTGAGGACATGCTTAGGGAGAAGAAATGGGGTCAGGGAGAAGGTAGAGAGAGAATTGATTACATTCCTCTTCACCCTTTTCACTTCTTGTAAACATCCTTTTGGTCTCTGTTTGTTTGCTTTGTTTTTAGATTCCATGTATAAGTGAAACTATATGTATTTGTCTTTTCTGCCTGACTTATTTCACTTAAATAATACCCTCTAGGTCCACCCAAGCTATCACAAATGGCAAGATTTCATTCTTTTAATTGTTGTAAATATTCCATTGTGTATATACCACATCTTCCTTATCTATTCATCTATCGATGGACATCTAAGTTGCTTCTGTATCTTGGCTGTTGTAAAGAATGCTGCAATAAATTAGTGTTCTCATTTTCTTTGGATAAATACCCAAAGTGGAACCATTGGATCATATGGTATAGCTATAGGATGGGGCAAAGTAGGTATACAGTTGTTTATATAGGAAACAATACAATAATTAGTTAATAAATAATACAAGAGTAAACTCTGCCTCGTGTACGTACAACTGTAAACCCACCTTTGCCTCACCCTGTAGTTTTAGTTGTTTTGTGGAATCTCCAAACTGTTTTTCCATGGGGGCTGCACCAGTTTGCAGTCCCACCAACAGTGCACATCCATGCCAACCCATGTTATTTGCTGACTTTGTGATTAGAGCCATTCTGACTGGTGTGAGGTGGTACCTCATTGCGGTTTTGGTTTGTATTTTCCTGATGATGAGTGATGTCAAGGACCTTTTCATATGACTATTGGCCATCTGTATGTCTTCTCTGGGGAAAATGTCTTTGCGTATCCTCTGCCCATTTTCTGATCAGAGTATTTTTTTGTTATTGAGTTGTATGAGTTTCTCATATGTTTTGCATATCAATCTCTTATTGGATATATCATTGGTGAATATATTCTCCCAGTTAGTAGGTTGCTTTCAGTTTTGTTGAAGGTTTCCCTGACTGTGCACAAGCTTTTCATTTTTTTAATTTTTTTAAAAAATATATATATTTTTTATTGATTTCAGAGAGGAAGGGAGAGGGGAGAGATAGAAAAATCAATGATGAAAGAGAATTCCCATGCTGGGGATTGAGCGGACAACCCCGGAATTGAACCTGGGACCCTTCAGTGTACAGGCTGACGCTCTATCCACTGAGCCAAACCAGCTAGAACGTGTTTTTAGCTTGACAGAGCCCCGTTTGTTTATTTTTTCTTTTGTTTCTCTTGTTGGAGGGGATAGGGGAAACTGAATTTTGAATGCACTCCCCAACCCACACACTGATGTACCGGTAGAGGGTGAAACACTTATCCCTAGACATGTCTGAGTGCCACGAAGGCCCAATTATTGACTATGAAGCTACACAGACAGGGGTAATGTCTAGAAAGCCAAGCTAACAACAAACAAAAAATGAACAGAGATATGGACAACCATATACTTGTGAACAGATAGGTTGCAAAAACAAAAACCTACCCATAAAAAAAACAAAACCCTAGGGAAGAAAACCAGAATCCAGAATTGCTATAATACATTATTTAAAATGCTCAGTTTTCAATTAAGAAATTATAAAACCTGCTAAGAAAAAGAAAAGTGTGACCAATATTCAGGGGGGAAAATCAATTATAATGGATTATGAGTAGATGCAGATGTTGGAATTAGCTGACAAAGACTTCAAGCAGTTATTATAAATAAGTTCAAATAATTAAGACAAATTACAATTCGAATGATTAAAAGAAAATATAATGCCAACAGATTTAAGATGGCAGAAGAAAGAGTCAATGAATGGGCTCAACAGATTTAAGATGGCAGAAGGTGGGCTCAACAGATTTAAGATGGCAGAAGAAAGAGTCAATGAATCTAAAGATACATAGAAAAGGACCAATCTGAAAGCGAGAAAAAAGAATGAAGATAAACAGTCTCTGAGGGGACAATAGTGCAGTAAACCCTTGATTTTACAGACTTTGATTTAATGTACTAAATGTCAAGTCCATGAGTTATATATGAAAATTAACACCCTGTTAATTTTAAAATGCTTTTAACTAAGATTTGCTTTGAATTACATTAACAGGTTATATTTTTTGTTATTAATTCACTATTATTTTAAACACATTTTATCGAATAGGTCATATGTTGGGGAAAAACGTGGTAGTAATTTTGCCAACAAAAATAAATATTACATACCCACAACTACAGTTTACTTATTTAAGTCACTACTCCTATCCCTTGCTGGGTGTATGATTAGCATGTGGATTGTGTGAGGTTTTTGGTTCTGTTGTCTTCTGGTGTAACTCTCTGCAGTTTTTTTTTTTTAAATATATTTTATTGATTTTTTTACAGAGAGGAAGGGAGAGGGATAGAGAGCTAGAAACATCGACAAGAGAGAAACATCGACCAGCTGCCTCTTGCACACCCCCCACCGGGGATGTACCTGCAACCAACATATTATACATGCCCCTGACGGGAATCAAACCTGGGACCTTTCAGTCCGTAGACTCGACGCTCTATCACTGAGCCAAACCGGTTTCAGCTCTCTGCAGCAGTTTTAACTCGTGTGCTAAGCCATGCCCCTGCCATATGCATTTGTTTACCAAATGGAAATTTTAAAGTAAAAAAAAAAAACAACAAAAAAATATCTGAAATGAAAAATTCACTAGGTGGACTCAACAGATTTAAGAGGGCAGAAGAGTCAATGAATCTAAAGATACATAGAAAAGGACCAATCTGAAAGAGAAAAAAGAATAAAGATAAACAGTTTTGGAGATCTATGCAGGCAACTGGTGAAAGTACTATTAGACCTATTCAGTACAAATTAAAAAAATTTTTTTTTCTATAAAAGTCAACTTTTCATACATAATTTTAATTACACAAACATGTCTATTTAAGTAAAAACAGGTGAAGTAACTAATCTGCCAGATTGTTAACATGCATTTGGAAAAAACCTACTTTGTTATATAAGGAACTAATTTAGTCTTTTTTTTAAGGTTTTACTGTAATTACATTTTACAGTAATTACATTTGCTCATACAGTATGTGGGCAGGAAATCAA